GCTTCTTAGGCTGATGTTTCTACAGTAACTGAGGCTTCACCACACTCCATCTGTGTTCATTGTTTATGTGGGTTTCGCTTTCTGGGACTCTGTCAAGGGAGGCGTAGTTCGGAGCCCTGTGTGACTATCAGGCCTCCAGCTTGCTCTTGTGTTGCTTGTGTGTCAGGCTTACAATATGGATCGACGTGCGCTCTGAGATTTGCTCCTTCCCATTTCCTCTCCAGCTTTTCTGTGGACCCTGGCTTTCCTTTGCTTCAGTTCATGCCGTGCTGCATTTGAATTTCATCCCCAGTTATGTGTCCTCATCATGGGGCCTGGGATAATTATAGACTTCTTTATAGAGAGAAGACCTGAGCCCCTACATTGTGCCCTGGGTCTCCACAGCTCTGCCGGGAGAGGGCAGTCTTTGGTCGCTGGGAGTCGGGGGCTCAGGTCACACCTGTGCTGTGTCACATCTCTCCCCTTCCCCTCATAGGTGCTCCTGCCAGCCAAGCAGCTCTTGTCGTTGGTGATTCTTTGTACCCACTCGGATGTGGGCACTGTGGGCATACTTTGTCTCCTACTTTGGAGATGGCGGGTGCCCGTGGGTCTGGGGTTTGTTGTCTTGCACTGTCTTTATGGGGAAATGTGGGGAAGCAAGTCAGCTCTTGCGCTGCATTCGCCTTTTAGATTTGTAAAGCGGGCATTTAAGAAATTACTCTGTTCTTTTATGGATGCTTCACATAACTATTAAGAATGACATGACTCAGGATGCACACAGTAAATTAAAGCTAACTTTGATATAATGTCAAATGAATAATATCAGGTATGAAAATGTGGTATTTTGTGACCTTTAAATGTAGAGAATTCTAGGGAGCTTACTATTTTCTTAGAATAGTTTAATATTCTCTTTCTGATAAAGGAAAAGAAAATGGATCCCCCCCCTCCTAATTTTAAAACGAGCAAAAAAAGGGAAAAAAAAAAAAAACAACTTTGGTGTACTTATATTGGAAACTTATATTTTCCTCTTAATTCTTTTTTTTTTTAAACATTTTATTGGGGGCTCGAACAACTCATTTTTTTTAATCGTTTTATTAGGGGCTCATACAGCTCTTATCACGATCCATACATACATCAATTGTGTAAAGCTCATTTCTACATTCATTGCCCTCATCATTCTCAAAGTATTTGCTCTCCACTTAAGCCCCCGGCATCAGGTCCTCATTTTTCCCCTCCCTCCCCCCTCCCCCCTCCCTCATGAGCCCTTGATAATTTATAAATTGTGTATTTTGTCATATCCTGCCCTATCCAACGTCTCCCTTCACCCACTTTTCTGTTGTCCGTCCCCCAGGGAGGAGGTCACATATAGATCCTTGTAATCGGTTCCCTCTTTCCAACCCATTCTCCCTCTACCCTCCCCGTATCGCCACTCACTCCACTGGTCCTGAAGGCATCATCCGCCCTGTATTCCCTGTGTTTCCAGTTCCTATCTGTACCAGTGTACATCCTCTGGTCCAGCCAGACTGCAAGGTAGAATTCAGATGATAGTGGGAGGGTGGGGGGAGGAAGCATTTAGGAACTAGAGGAAAGTTGTATTTGTCATCGTTGCTACATCTCACCCTGTCTGCCTCGTCTCCTCCCCGAGACCCCTCTGCAAGGGGATCTCCAGTAGTCTACAAAAGGGCTTTGGGTCTCCACTCCACACTCCCCCCATCATTCACTATGGTAAGATTTTTTTGTTCTGATGATGCCTTATACCTGATCCCTTCGACACCTCATGATCGCACAGGCTGGTTGTGGGCTTTGTTGTTTCTAAGCTAGATGGCCGCTTGTTTACCTTTAAGCCTTTAAGACCCCAGATGCTCTATCTTTTGATAGCCAGTCACCATCAGCTTTCTTCACCACATTTGCTTATGCACGCATTTGTCTTCAGCGATCGTATCAGGGAGGTGAGCACACAATGATATGATTTTTTTGTTCTTTGACGCCTGATAACGGATCCCTTCAGCATCTCGTGATCACACAGGCTGATGTGTTCTTCCATATAGGCTTTGTTGCTTCTGAGCTAGATGGCCGCTGTTTACCTTCATTTCCTCTTAATTCATTGACAAAATACATGCGGGGAGAGCTGGTGATAGCTTGTGATGAGATTTTCCATTTTGATAGTTGACACAGTTGTTCTTCAGAATTATTAAGAACCTTAATCACTCTTCTGAAATAATTGTCAGTTTTTAAAAAGGATTCCTTGTCATAACATAATAATAATTTAAAAACTTAAAATGCATTTCTATATAAAATCTATTTCACAGCACAATACAATTTTTTTGTTTCGATATGCTCAAATTTGGCTTCTCCTTCATGATAAAGCTCTTGTTTTTTGTTTCTGACCTTTGGGAATCTAAGCCTCCTGGATGTAGTTTTATGGAGCTTTAAAAATCTCCTTAGTTTTAAAAAAAACAAACTCCTTAGTTTCTACAGAAATTAAAATGAAGACTCGATTGGAGTGTTGTATACCAATGATATATAGATATAGATATAGATATATATACTTACTGGTGTGTATGCATGTCTGTCTATTTATAAGAGTTACTAATTCCAGTCACAAGAAATAATCTAATAGTTCTTCTCTGGAGTCTGCTAGAAAGGTACAGTTAAAGCTTATCAAAGTGATATTTTAGTCCAAAAAATTAATTTGATATCCACTTACTGTACATACTCGAGTATAAGGTGACCTGAATATCAGCGATATTCAGGCACCTAATTTTACCACAAAAACTGCATTAAAATGTGCTGAAAATAGGAACTGGAAACACAGGGATTCCAGGACAGATGAATCCCTCAGGACCAGTGGTGAGAGTGGTGATACCGGAAGGGTGAAGGGAAGGTGGGGTAGAAAGGGAGATCCGATCACAAGGATCTTCATATAACCCCCTCCCTGGGGGACAGGCAACAGAAAAGTGGGTGAAAGGAGACGTCGGACAGTGCAAGACATGACAAAATAGTAATAATTTATAAATTATCAAGGGTTCACTGGGAAGAAAGGGTGGGGGGGGAGGGGAAAGAAAATGAGCTGATACAAGGGCTCAAGTAGAAAGAAAATGTTTTGAGAATGATGATGGCAACAAATGTACAAGGGTGCTTGACACAATGGATGGATATATGGATTGTGTAAGAGTTGTATGAGTCCCCAATAAAATGATTTTTTTAATGTAATGAAAAACTCCGCTTATATGTGAGTATATATGATAAGTAATCTTTCAGAAACTAAATGGAAATGTTTGGGAGTTTTGTTTTCTGTTTTAAATGAAACAGAAGGGCTTTATGTGGTATTAATGGTTTTAAGTTTTTCTTCACATGTTCTTTGAATGTCTGTTTTCCAGGATACTCCTCCTTAGTTTTCTGTTATACTTTTCATCACTTTTATTCCATGTTCTGTAGAAGATCTCATTATAGAATTTGATTGTAAAGTGATGCTCATTGTTGTTTGCTACATCAGTCACCTGCGGCCCACGGTGGCCCTAGATAAAGCAGAGCGATGGGTCACCCAGTCCGACTCCGTCTGCACAGTTGTCGGTGTGCTTGAGCTCACAGTTACAGCCTCTGTCAGCCCGTCTCTTGAAGGGCCGCCTTGATTTCACTCATATTCTTTCGGAGACAGGCATGATGCCTTCTCCAGCAATGGGACCCCAGAGCCTCCCAAGTTGAGTGGCTCATCTCCTACGACTGAGTGGGTTTCAGAAAGAGCGTAGAACAGTGGAACTGAATGATCATGGATATTTCCCATAGACTTCTGAAAGCCCTTTGTGTATAAGACAGTATTCCTTTGTTATCCATAAGGTTTCTTTCTCTTGGCTAATGTTTCGAAGTGGATCACTAAGCCTGTCTTTCTCTGGAAGCTCTGCTGCAGCTTGTCCACCCTGGATGACCCTACGGTTATTTCAGCACCAGTAGCATAGCGTCCAGCATCCTCGCAGCACCCAGGCCACCTTAGTAGGCCAGACTGACAGGCAGGTCATGGCATACCCGCCTCCCAAAGGCAAACCCGTTGCCATTGACTCTGTCCTGGCACATAGTCCCACTCTGTCTCAACCCCGTGGGACAGAGTGGGACTGCCTACTGTGGTTCCCAACTCGCTCATCTTTAAGGAGGCAGACTGCCACACCTTTTTCTCTTGTGGATTTGGAAAGTTTATATCATCTTAGAAATCTGAGCACTTAACATGTTAGATCGATAGAGAATTATTTAATAAAATGCATTTAAGCTGCAACTCCCTTACAGCCATAGATACCCATTATCTTCTATTTATAATATTGTCCACCTGTTTTAGCGACTTCCTTATAACTGTCATTTGGGCTGTGACCAGTTTTTTGGAACTATTGCTGCAGTAACATCTATAGCATCGGGTCCTCTTGTGGATGTGAGTGTTCCTCAGGGAGATCCTGATCCTGACAAAGGACAACCGGTTGACGTCTAAAATGGACACAGTGAACTATATGCCCAAGGGTAGTGTTTGTCGACCCCAGCTATGATATGGCCCAGTGTGTAAGCGCTTGGCTGCCAACCGAATGGTTGGGTTCTGTAAAACAACAGACTTAGAAATCCCACTGAGCAATTTAACTTCTGTCCTGTAGGATTGCTGTGACAGAATCAACTGGATGAAAATGGTTTGGATGTTGGGTTAGTGAGATGTGATCAGAGTATCTCGTTATTATAATTTGCGTATTTCTGATTTTAATGAATTGAGCATGTTTTCAATGATTGGTGGCTATTTGGGCTTTCTTTTTGTGAAGGCCCGTTTATGTCCCTAACCAGTTTTTCCTATCGAGTCATTGTGTATGAATTAGTAGGAGTTATTTGTATATTCTTGATGCTAACACTTTTACATGTTTTACGAGGACTTTTCTAAGTAAGAGTCACAAACTTATCCTTCAGAGTGGACTTTTATATGCATATTAATCTGAAAATTGATTTTCTGGGTTTTGAATGTTTTTAAGTTCCTGTTTGTTTTTTTTCCTCTATAGGTTATGAACGTGGTTTCTGATGAAACTGGATTGGAATCGTTTTCATGATATTTGTACATTTATACATATATATATATATATTTTGAAATTTTGCATTTGACTTAAAGTGCCATGAGAAAATTTGCCTACTGCAAGGTGGTCCTGGCCACCTCCTTGATTTGGGTACTCCTGGATATGTTCCTGCTGCTCTACTTCAGTGAGTGCAACAGATGTGACGAGAAGAAGGAGAGAGGGCTTCCTGCTGGGGATGGTGAGTGCCTTTCAATACCCCCGCTGTGCCCATGACCCATCACTAGCTCATTTGTATGGTGAGGCATCGTGGTGTTTCAGCTTCCCGACCTTGGGTTCCCACATGCGGTGGTCACATGCTTACCAATTCTCCAGGGGGACCTGCCAGCAGAGAGTTATCAACTACCATGTACAGAAGGACGACATTCGGTTTTCCTGTGTGTGCTCAGTGTTACACGCAGTCCATTTCCTAGAAATTATTTTACGTTACAGAATGAGATAAGTATCTCATTATTGGAGCTATCAGAATTATACAGAAGATTAGCCCAATGTCATAATGCTGAGTGGATTGTTGAAATCGCAATTATCGGCTATCAGCCGAGATTCACTCTGCCGGCGAAGTAGAAATCTCTGCCAACGGCGGGATGTGGAAAGTTCAAGGACTGGCAGAAGCCCTCGTTAGCGCTCTGATGAGGGAGTTGGGAACTTTGGGCAAAGAATGGGGCTGCAGTGAGAGAGAATACTGCAGTACCTGCAGTGGGCAAGAAAGGAACACACAGCTATACAGGCCCAGAAGGCAGTGCGGGTAATTTTGGCAAGAGACTCCTGGGAAATTGAGTTTGTTTCCTTGCGGTCAAACTAACAAATGCTGCTTTCTTGTTTTGTTTGTAACCATAATGAAGACACATGCATTGTGAGAGTCAGTAATTCCACTGTTTTGAGCTTTGATCTCTTTCTGATTAGCTATAAAATACGTAGCAGACAATAATTCTACTCTTTGTAGGAGTTTATGCACCAATAGTTGATTTTTCAATATCATATCAATTTCAATATCATTTCATTCTCATGTAGCTATACTAAATGTTTTATACTTCGGTGATGAGAAAAATACCTTATCTTCCGAAATTTATAATCAAAAAAATATTTGTTTGGGCAGCTGTGCCTACTTAGTATAATTTTTATAAACCAAAACAAAAAGCTCACTGCCATCGAGTTGATTCAGGACAGGGTAGGACTGCCCATGTGGGTCTCAGAACTGTTTAACTATTCCCAGGAGAAGAAGCCTCCTCTTCCTCCCATAGAACAGCTGTGGTTTCAAACTGCTGGCCTTGCAGTTAACAGCCTAACGTGCAACCCATTGTGCCATGAGCTTACAGAGCTTACAGAGCCAATTCTGAAGACATAGTTTCTCATAGGGTTTGCCTAACATTAGGTTCAGTCACTAGCACTGAACTCAAATAATACCTAGGCTAACCCCCTAATTTAAACTCGGACTTTCCTGCTAGGTTTTAGGGTGAAAAAATTTAAAGTCATCATATTAATTTGGATAATCTTTCCTGGTTTCCTTCATGGCTCCAGTGTTGCGTAACTTTCCTTGGTGAGAAAACTGTACCTCCGTCCTTGTTGCTGGAGCTATAGCTGTCTGTGTACGTTTAAAGCAGAGGGCACGTGTTGCTATTTGCCACTCGGAAGATGCGGGTACTCTTTCTCAGATACCACACTCACTGCCATTGGGCTGATGCCCAACCCACGGCTACCCCATAGGTAGAACCGGCCCTGCAGGCTTCCGAGACTGAACGCTTTCCCGAGGTAGAAAGCCCGTCTTTCTCCCTCTAGCAGCTGGTGGTTTCAAACTGCTGACCTTGAGGATCACAGCTAGAACGCATTCATTTCCCCCTCCCCTTACCTGCGTGCATTGTCGTGGATGGCAGTTGTCTATGGCGCTCTGTTTCAAATGTAAAGGTCTGAAAACAGGAACACATGGGACCTGTAGCTGGTGAAGATGTCCTTAATGAGTTATTTTGTACTGAACCGTGTACTTACTGCATGCCAGTGACACGTACCGGAACAACAAAAAATACAGCACAATTCCTCCCTTCAGGGAACTCCCAGTTCAAGGGGAAAGAAAGAGTGATCGTAAACCCCCAGCACAGTTAATGCCCTATGAGGGGGTGTGCATGCGCAAAAAGGCAGGATCCTTGGGAGGCAGTCATTTGAGGTCATCCAGTGCACAAGCCATGCTCACGTCCCCTCTCAGGGCGAGGAAGGATTTGTTGGCTTTGAATGGGGCTGGGGAAGGCCTTCCGGGCAGAAGGGGAAAACCGTGGGAGAGCAGAGCTGATGGCCCGGAGAATGTGAGGGACAGGTTCCAGAGGAAGCTCGCAGGCCATTTATAAAGTCACACGACAATGCTGGACTTCATCCTGGAGCTGGTGACATGCCATCACCGTGGGGAGCGAGTTAACCCCATCCGATCTGTACTCTTAGAAGAAAGCTCTGGTGGTCACGCGGCTGCTGGCACTGCAGGGGAATGAGCTGGTTAGCAGAGACGCCTCTGAAAAACCTTCTGTGAGAGGAAGCTTCACGTCAGCGGGAGCTGAGGGGCCTCCCAAGTGGTGGCACGGGAGCCTCGCGCTGTCCCGGCTCCAAAAGAGGGCTGGTGACTAATTGCCACGGTCACAGCACCAAGACATCAAACCTCCTCGGTGGAATTGGCGAGTACACACCTGGAAGAAGGCCAGCGACCTGCTGGGTGATAACCCTGGGCCCTCCACGCAGGGTCTCTCTCCACTTGATGGCGTTTGAAAGCAAACCTCCACAGCAACCAGGACGAGTAGGGATGGTGGTGCACAGGGTAACTGAGGATCGCGAGGTTCTCGTGTGCGAACGTTCTTGGGCAGCTTGGATCGCTGGCCTGGTGTCAGTTCTGTCCTCTATGCTGTGAAGGAGGTCTCCTGCGTTGCCATGGATTGCCTGTCCTGATGATCATGCTGAAGGCCACTACGAGATGGTTGTGGACATACTTCCTAGTTTTCTGGGGTTCTTGTCTGCAAGGGCCAGTCTTTGCCGCTAACAGAAGAGTTTGTTTCCTAGAGCAGTTCTTGCATAGTTTTTTGTGGTTTTTAAAAATCATTTTATTGGGGCTCATACAACTCTTATCACAATCCATCCATCCATCCATTGTGTCAAGCACACTTGTACATTTGTTGCCATCAGCATTCTCAAAACATTTCTTTCTACTGGAGCCCTTGGTATCAGCTCCTCATTTTCTTCTCTTCCCTTCCCTCCCCCACCCTCCCTCCCTCACAAACCCTTGATAATTTATTTAAAAATTTTTTTCATGTCTTACACTGCCCGATATTTTATACCCCAGGCTACCTGAGAATAGCAAAGCCCTTCTGTTGCTAGAGAATGATATTGGGGTCCCCTAGAGAAGACAAGGTGAGCATGGCCTGGGAATATTTTTACTGTACTTTTGCTATCCAGAGAAGCTCATGTATTCAATCTGTGGATTTGTGTATGATCAAGAAGGAGCCCCCGTGGCCGTTAGGTAAGCAGTGAACTAACTGCAAGGTTGCAGTGAACTAACTGCAAGGTTGGCACTGCAAACTCATCAGCCACTCCACAGGAGAAAGATGAGGCTGTCCCCATAAAGATTTACAAACCCTGGGAACCTCAGTATCTTTACAGATGGAATTTCAAGTAGTAATTGGTCGTTCATGCTGACGCTATACTTGATTTTCAGATGATTCACATGTTGGGGAACATAGCATATAGAAGGAATGTCTGATGATTAAGAATTTGAAGATATTAGTAAAGGATTTCAGAATCTCTCTATTACAGTTTTTAAAAGTGGTTAAAGCTTCCCATATTAAGCATATTACAAATACATTGATCATGACATTGGAATGAGGGTTGAAGCTAACAAGGTTGTTAACATAACAAAAAGTTGCCAGCCATTAAGTTACATATAATATTTGAATGTTAAAAAAAATCAGACAATACCTTGCATTTCATTGCATCTCACACACCTTTGTTTGCAGAATACTAATTTTGTATACTAAGAAAAAAATTGCAGTGTAAGATATGACAAAATAATAATTTATAAATTATCAAGGTTTCGGGAGGGAGGGAGGGGAAAAAATGAGGAGCTGATACCAAGGACTCAAGTAGAAAGAAAATGTTTTGAGAATGATGAGGGCAACAAATGTACAAATGTGCTTGACACGATGGATAGGTGAATGGATTGTGATATGAGTTGTACGAACCCCCAATAAAATGATTTTTAAAAGGGGGGAAAAAAGAAAAAAATTACAATTATGATTGTAAGCCACATTCTAATTTCAGAAATGTTAATGTATAGGGAAAATATTTTAGAATAGATGGTACCCTACTAGATAAAGACAGTAAGGAATGTAATAGTATGATAGAAAAGAAAATTATTTGGAAAAAAAACAATTTTTGCCTTTTATTAGTATTTTTTCCCAAAAGTGAGTCATATATAATGATATAAAGTAGAATAATACTTCCATGAGAAAAACATTAGTTAGAAAATTGACTTATTAAAAGTACATTCACATGTATGACAAATAGTTTGTGTATGTTAATTCTGTTATTTGGGGGTTTTCAGCGTGGCCCTAGTAACTAGGTTTTCTAAAAGATTACACATTGCATGGTCATGCAACTGAAGTTTGACTGGCGCTACATAACTCAGTTGTAACTAACTACAACATAATGTAACTAAGTACAATGTAACTAAGTGTAATATAACTACATGGTACTTTAGAATACCCCCCTTGTCAATGACAGCTGATTGGGTTCTTATAAATACTGTACATGTTAATCCAAATAACAACTTTTACTAAGTTTATGGAAGGGTGATATCTAAACCTCCTTATAAGCATTTTTAAATAAAAATTTCATTGAACACTTTGCTCACTACATAAAAGACTGGTAGGAAGAGTATGTGGGAAATTTGCATTTGTCATGTTTTTATTCACTAACCATATGCATTTTGTCTGGTCCTTTTGGCTAAGGGAAAGGAGTTTACTAGTCCCCTTGATACTTATGGTTACAGTGATATTGAATGAGGATGTGTAGTAAGGGAAAGGAGTTTACCAGTCCCCTTGATACTTATGGTTACAGTGATATTGAATGAGGATGTGTAGTTGATCCTCTCTGTTATGCAGCAGCAGTCGTCTAACTTTTAACAGTCATCTGCTGTTAATTTTAAGCGTAGTTTTGAAATAATCATGCGCACTAGTAGGCCAGAGTCTGTGATCAGGGATTATTGAAAAGTACCATGTGATCACATTTGTACAATTTTGCAGCAGCAGGACTGTATATATATATATATTTTTTTTCCCTGTTTCTTTAGGATCCCAAAGGCAAATTTTTACTTCACAAATAATAAAGCAAAAGTTTACATTTCTGGCCATGTGGTTTTCATGTGAAAATAAGCAACCAGTAAGATTACTCAGCCATATTCGTAAATTTTCTCGAGTAATTCACTCAGACTTTGAAAACCAGTGAGTTGCATAGAAAAGGATAATATTACATAGTGTTCTCTTTGTGTTACCTGCTCCCCACTTTAATGGCGGACTTCAGACAGACACAAAAGAAGAGAGAGGAGAAAACTAAACTCCCGAATTTCTGTCTCCTGGCTTCAATAGCTATCAACCCATAGCCAGTTTTATAGCACGGACCCTGTGTTGGGCTTGGTTGACTAGAGAAACAGATTCATAGACACTCGTGTGTAAGAAAGAGCATTATATACAAGAGCAATTGAATTTTGAGAAAATATCCCAGCCCAGTCCAGATCAATTCCATAAGTCTGATATTAACCCAGATGTCCAATACCATTCAATGAATTCCTCTTCAGACTCACACAACATATGTAATGACACCGAATGCAGTGGTGGAAAGTCTTGTGGATCCAGTGGCAGTGAAAGTATCTCAGCGCTGGCAGGGGTCTCCACATGGCTCCAGCTCCAGGGCTCTAGCATAACTCCATGTGTCTTGTCCTCAGGAATGTCTCGCAGGGAATGAGCATGTGTCCCACCTCCAGCGAGCTATTTATCTCCTTAGTGCCTCCAAATGAGATCATCAAGCTGTGACCTGATTGACAGGCTAACCCCCTCCCCTCTACTCTGAATCTCAAATTGACAACAGATTATGTACGTCTCTCTTTCCTGTTACCTCTACCCTTCTGTGGTTGAAGAAGAAGAAACTGCATTGCTTCTCTTTCTGGTTTTACCCAATCAAGATTTACATCCTTTTTGATGCTCTTTCTCAGCTCCCCGTATTTCCTGGGCCTGGATAGGTAGGTCCAGGGGCTTGGCCAGATTCAGGATATCTCTGTAACCCCCAGCAAAGACGCTTTGTAGTTGGTGCGATGTATAACGTAATACTTTTAGTTTAAAAAAAAGACAGCAGGAAGATAGTTTTAATTTTTAGCTTCTCCTAAAGCACCCTCTTGCAGCACTGCAACAGGGCACAAACCCTGGTGGTGCCATGGTTCCGAGGTGGGCAGTTTGAAACCACCGCCCACTCCACGAGAGACGGGCAGGGCTGTCTACTCGGGTGAAGAGGGACAGTCTCAGAAGCCCACAGGGTCACTTCTAGCCTGTCCAACAGGGTCGCTGTGAGTTGGGAGAGGAAGGATATTTATCATCAGAGCCACTAGATGTCCCTCACCTACCCTGTATATTGTCTCTGCCAGCAGCCAGCTCAAAGCCTTTGGATGGACCTTCCCTTCATCCTCAGTGTTTTACAGTGTATCCTTTGTAAGTGTAAAAGCTTCCCGGTGGTAGTAGACCTCTGTACTTGTGTTGCAGCTTGTATTACTCTTGTCTTTGAGGTTCTGTTTTTCATTCTACAAACCCGTATATGTAAACCGCTCACTTGCTAGACAAACGTGAGGTAAGAGGCTGTTTACGGAAATGATCTTATGTGCGTTTCCCATCATTTCTTGTTATTTTAATCCTAACGTTGTAATGTCTCACCTAAAATTACAGATCATTCTGAGAACAGGGAGAGATTGTTAGACACTGTTTTTCTTGATGGTGCTCCAAAATAGATTTTTATATTTCTGGACAGGGTTATTAAAGACACAGTGAACAATTTCGCATTTTCTCCTCACCCTAAGTTTCTACATGTACACTGAAAAGCAGATCTCATGTTGATAGGTTGCCCTATGCCGCCATTTGGAACAGCCTGCAGGCTAACTCTTAGCACCTGATGCCCTTCCTGGATGAGGAGAGACGGTTTTCCTGCCTTCTTGTGCTGCCGTATCTGTGCGGAGAATTTAACCGCTTGGCTGTTAACATTGCCAAGTGATCCTCTTCACCCGCTGCCTGGCCACATACCATTCACCACCCATCATGTTAGATCAGCAATTGTACAGCATTGTCTAAATCTGATATAGCCCTAGACCTGTTTTTCATGAAACACTTGTGAAGATTTCAAAAGCATATCATTAAGTACAGAGATTGGGAAAGGTTGGCCTGGAATATTACTCTTTATCATCGATTTCAAGTGTCAACAGATCCCGATTAGAATTATCTTTCATGAGGACATGACTAGCATAGTAATTATTAAACTGTCTGCTATTCCCAAGTCTAGCGTTGTCATTTGGGCCCCTTTTGCATTATCATTTCACTTATTAATTCAACAGATAATTGCAAAACCCCCAATAAGACACTATGTTAAAACTCCACAGACGGTTCACAAAGAAAGTAAATTACCCTCAGACCCAAGCAAGACTAATGGAGTGGGAGGGAGGGAATAAAACCGGTTTCTCAATTATAATAAGAGGTCACCATTGATTGGAGAAACGAGAGCCCTCCCGGAATGATATGGTTGTCACGATTAGTAAATTATCACTCTCAAAAGATTCAGAAAAGCTGCAGGCAATTTTGCATTGAAAGACAAAGACGGGTGAGAGAGTGGGAGGCAGGCTCCAGGAAGAGAAGCTATGTGAGCAAAGGTGCAGAAGCCAGGGAACCTGGAGCCAGTACCTTGGGAGGAAAGCCACCTGCAGTGGCTGTTTGACAAGGAGTAACTGCTGGGAGGGAGGGAGGCGGCTCTAGCCGGCAGCAGGCTTGGCAGGTCAGTTTAAAATGCCACATTACAGAGGTTGGACTCTGGGAGGCTCTGGGTCTAGTTTGATGACAGCTATATTTTAGGGAGGTGAAGGTGTCAGGAGGATGTGGGGTGGCAGGAAAACTCTGCTGGGACAGGTGAGTGGTGACAGGTGAGATGGTCTTGAGTCAGGCCAGTGGATTAGGAGTGGCTGGGTATGAGAGGTGGCTGTGGCTGTTGAAGGCCTGGTGTGAACAAACTTGGTTTATTAAACAACCATGTGACTCAATCCTTATTCTCAGTTCTAGAGCCAGTGCCAAAGCCTCATGAAGGTCCCGGGGAAATGGGGAAGCCAGTCGTCATTCCTAAAGAGGATCAAGAGCAGATGAAAGAGATGTTCAAGATCAATCAGTTCAATCTGATGGCAAGCGAGAAGATCGCACTCAACCGATCGCTACCTGATGTCAGATTAGAAGGGTAAGTGCCCAGTGGGGTCCGCGGAGGTTAACTTGAAGGAAGATGTGTCCTCGGTTCTCCCCTGACCTTGCCCTTTCCTGCTGATTGTTCTTGAATGTCAGATCACTCAGTCCCCACTTAAGACAACCGAAAAGTGGGTGAAGGGAGACGTCGGACAGGGCAAGATATGACAAAATACCAATTTATAAACTATCAGGGCTCATGAGGAAGGGGAGAGCGGGGAGGGAGGGGAAAAATGAGGACCTAATGTCAGGGGTTTAAGTGGAGAGAAAATGTTTTGAGAA